ATTTTCAAGAAACGTTCAGAGCAAATTGAAAGATAGCATGAGCAGATGTCTTGGACTCTTCCTTTATCTAGTCCTCCCCTCCACAGCAAGGCTACACATTATAGAATTGTAGAATAGCATTCAAACCAAGATAGTAACATTAGTACAATGGGTGTATAGAATTCCTCACCTTTCTCTCAAGTGTAGCTAGATCTGTGTGTGTACATTCAAGACATGATGACTCAGGTCTGACATCCCAATATTTTTGAGAACTTGAGGCCAACCTAGGCTGTGTATTAAGTTGCACGCCAGTCCAAAGAAAAACAAAACCAAACACCTCAAAGGTCTAAGACAAATAGAGACTCTAATGAGCTGTTTACAAATAGTTTATGCACAGTTATATTCAAAGTCATGTTCATTTGAAATCTTTAAACAATGTTCCTGTTTGTCTTAGTCACTGTTCTATTGCTGCGAAGAGACACCATGACCACAGCAACTCTTATACAAAAAGGCATTTAAGGTTTCAGAGGGTTAATTATTATTATTATTATTATTATTATTATTATTATTATTGGGAGTATAGTGGCATACAGCCTGGTATGGCCCTGGAACTGAGAGCTTTACATCCTGATTCACAGGCAGCAGGGAGAGAATCTGCACCAGGCAAGGGCTTTTGAAACCTCAAAGCCCACCCCCAGTGATGCACTTCCTTAACAAGTTGACACCTCAAATATTAAATAAACCCCTGCTGACTAAGCATTCAAATATATGAACCTATGGGGGCCATTCTTATTCAAATTGTTAATTTTCAATTTTTAACTCTTAATTCAAATGGGCCAAGAAGTCTAAAAAGTTGTTTGAAGAATGCCAGGCATAGCTACTCACACCTATAATCCCAGCCGCCAGCAGGCCTCAGCACAAGTCTGAAGCTAGCCTGGGCTACAGGGTGAGATCCTGTCTTTAAAAATATAACAATAGGGCTGGAGAGATGGCTCAGAGGTTAAGAGCATTGCCCGCTCTTCCAAAGGTCCTGAGTTCAATTCCCAGGAACCACATGGTGGCTCACAACCATCTGTAATGGGGTCTGGTGTCCTCTGCTGGCCGGCAGGCATACACACATACAGAATATTGTATACATGATAGATAAATAAATAAATATTTAAAAAAATAAAAACATAACAATAAAACCAAGCCAGGTATATTGGTATACACTTATAATTCCAGCATTGAGGGTAGAGGAAGGAGGACTAGGAGTTCAAAGTCACCCTGTCCTACATATTAAGTTAGAAGCCATCTTGGAATACATGAAAACCTGCCTCAATAAATCAAACCAAGCCAAAGGCACAAATTCTCTGAAGGCATCATCTGGGTTCCATAGTGTGAAAACGGACCCAACTGGACCTCACAATGATTTTTACTTCCCCCTCCACCATCGAATCTACCTTTGCTGTGCCAGATGTCTTTTAGCATCTGATAAGGTCCCGTATGCCTCAGCTAATTGCTTCATTTTTCTCTCGACTTCTTCATTCTTAGTATTTTGATCTGAATGCTACTTTAGTGCCAGCTTCTGAAATGCCATTTTTTCCCTGAGCCAGGGTGACTATGTATCTCAGACTAAGTCTAGAGCTCACTATATAGCTGAGGGTAACCTTGAATTCCTCACCCTGCTCCCTCCATCTTCTGGGCATCTGTGTTTGCCTGTTTTATTCAGTGGTGGGCATAAAATCTATGGTCTTATAGTGTGCTGGGCAAGCAGTACACTTCTGAGTCACATCCCTTGCCCAAGCCATCACTTCTTGCAATCTCAGATCACACAGGAACAAAGCGACTCTTGGGGGACTCTCTTACAAGGACGGTATTATCACTGAGGAAGGCAACACCTACAACGTTCATAGACTTCACTTCCTAATCATGTCTCTTTGGTAAATTTCTTCTGAATTATAATCTTGTATTTATTACTAATTTATATGCAGGAGTAGGCTAGGAAGTACTAGGAATGTTATCATCAGGTTGATATTCTTCAAGAAGCACAGCGGGCGACCTTCTTGTTTCTATGGCAACATGCTTTGAGTGGAAACATTGTTTTGCCTTCCACTGAGTGAGATATAATTGCCTCTTAGATTCTCCAGCATAGAGAAATCAGGTACAATGAGCTTAACCACACACCCCAAATAAACACATACCCACGGACCCAGCAGTAAGCAAGGAAGTGACCAGTCTCAATATGCATACAGTGAAACCAAATTCAAAACCGGTCGCGTTGTCAGGTCTCTATAGCAACATGAGAAATTGTTATGTTAAGATAGCAATTAGCAAAAGAAATAGCAACAGAAGCTCTTGGTTAGTGGTTACACGTGAGGAATTGTAAGATGGCTCAGGGCTTAAGGGCACTTGCCACCAAGCCTAACCACCTGCATTGCATCCTCAGTACCCACAGTGAGAACAAACTCCTTAACGTTGTCTTCTGACATGCATATGCTCACTGTGGCACGTGTACACACACACACACACACACACACACACACACACACACACACGCGCGCGTGCGCGCGAACACCCACACAATGAGGGAATGAATCAATGTAAAGAGAAAATTGAAAGGTGCCGAGAGCATACTGCCACCATGTCTAGTGTAAACGTTGTAACTGCACTTCGAAATTAACACTCTTCTAGGACACAGTCATAGATTCCTGTCCTAACAGCTACTGACATGTAAAGCTCAAATGTTCTGTCCTGGGATTAACCCTCCAGTCGCATCTACTCTTCAATCTGGAAAACAGTATATCAGATGACATTTGGACTGTTCTGTGGTCAGCAGATAGCTCTCTGGACAGAAGGTACCTGCTTGCCAACACTCATGATCTGAGTTCAATTTCCGGGACCTATGTGGTAGAAGGAAAGAATCAACTCTTAGTTATCTTCTGTCCTCCAGGGAGGATATTCAGCACATACATGTGTTCACGTGTATGCATGTACACACACACACACACAAAATCAATCAATAATAATAATAAAAATTTTAATAGGTAATCCCTAAAGTGGCCACCAGATGGCAGAGCTGCTCAAGTTTAGAAAATGTTAATGGTCTAACAAATGTGTGTAACCTTTTCATAATACAAATAAACCAAGGATAATATGTACCTGACACATGGCACCTTGGATAGATACTCAGAATATTGTGTCAGTTTCTTCATGTTGTTTGGCATTTACTTTAATGTAATTAAGGTTTTGAAGTATTTACTTACCGGCACAAATCGTGTTTCTACTTTTTTTTTTCTACTTGTAAGGATCTTCCCCAAATACTAAATATTCCTTTATGACATTCATTTTCTTTATTTGGAAATTTCATATACATAAATAGTATATCTTGAACATATTTGCCCCCACGTCCTTCCTCCTGATCCCTCGGGGAACCCCGATTCCCTCCTCCAACTCTCCTCAAGTAATCCAAACCTACCAAGCTCCCATCCTTCCTTTTTTTCAATTTTTTAACCTTTATTAATTTATTTTGAGTGCGGCTGTGGTGGGATATTTGTATGCCACAACGAAAGTGTAGAAGTCAAGATGCCATCTGGGAAAGCAGTTTTCTCCTCTAAATAAAAGGATCCTAGGGGAACAACTCAGGTTGTTGGGCTCGGTGGCAAGCCCTTACCCACTGAGCCATTTTCACCTCCCCCTTTAAAAACATACTTTTGCTAAGTTTTGAGTTGTGGGTATATGTTTGTGTCTGCACATGACTGCAGATGCCCTGGGAAGAAGTCAGAGAAAGCCATGGGAAACCAGAAGGATTAGATTCCCTGGAGCTGGGGTGAAGGGCAGTTTTGAGCTACTCAATGTGGGGGCTTAGAATAGATCTTGTGGATACTGGGAAATGAGTTAGGATCCCCTGGAGCTCGAGTCCTCTGGAAAAATAGTACACGGTTTTAACTAGTGAGCCATCTCTCCAGTCCACTCCCCTTTGGACACAATATCCTACGTAGCCCAGGTTGGTATCAGACACATATGGAGTTGATCTTGACCTTCTGTTTCCACTTTTTCAAGTACTGTAATTACAAGAGTACCATGCCTGGTTCTAGGGCATTATCTTTCTAATGCTTAATCATTATTTTAGGGTGTAATTTTCTAATGCTTAATCATTACTTCTAGGGCAATGTTTTCTAACGCTTAATTGTAATTTTTTAAAGCATAAAGTCTGTGATACAGGTTGGTGGTAGAGCCCTTCCTTGCAAGCACAAGCTCCTGGCTTTATCCCTGGCATCCAGAGTCAAAAACCCAGGAAGGATGTTGGAGGGGAGTTTTGAGTTGGAGGTTAGCCTGAATTATACAAGAAACCTACCTGAAAACATTAACAACTGTCAGAAAGCATAGGCAATATGTACTTTGTCAGGTTTAAATCGTTTTGCATATCAATAATGAGCTCCTTGGCTTAATGTGCTAATTAGTAAAAGAGGAATTGTAGGGACAATGTAGTTCGTTGATGGGGCACAGGTTTTCACGTTGTTTTCCAGAAGGAAAGACAAAGCTGCTCCAGGCAGCCCTGTGAAAGGATGCCTTACAGGCTCCCTCCGTTGCAACATTATCCCAACTGTAGGAGTTTGGAAACTGAAAAGCAAATTGCACCTCTCGAACATTAAACCTAGAGGAAGCGCCAGGTCTGCATCATTGTGACTTAGTGCACTAGGCACTGGTAATCTAGATGTGAGTGCCTGCGCTCAGCAGATGTTCCCATTCTCATGTTGGAGGGCCAGGAGGGTAGGACCGAAACAATACAAACTGAAAAGCTGCTGGTTATGGAGAGGAGCTGCAGAGCGAAGAAATGGCTTAGCACAGGATGGATGGAAAGGACACGCTCACTGGCTACCGATAAGCAAGATTTCCCTTAGCTACTCAGCTACTGTGTTTCTTTGTGTGTGAAGGGGAGGGGACGTAAAAGGGGAGTGGATGTAAAGTGAAGGGCCCTGCGTGCTTGCAGCCATAGTGCTGGCGGCCTACATTCTGAAAGGGCCACTCAGCTCCTCCATCCTTCTCTCTCGGATGACGACTCTGGAACCCTGAGGTTGACCCGTACTCACAGATCCGTTTCCTCTCTCAGCACACAACACGACTGACTCCAGGTACAGACTGCCACGCAGAAGCAAGCCAAGGTAAGCTTATTGGAGATGGGAACACAGAAATGATCTTTCGGGACCCTGAGCAGAGCAGGGCCCGCCTTCCTTTCTCTCACAGAATTGGCAGCATGTGTCATGACAAAGGCGGCACGTGTCCTCATTGAGGAGCAATTAGAATAAACTAGAAGCATTTCAGCTGTTGCAGGTCTTCTAAGAACAATGAGACCTTCAGATGCCCCGTTGCACTTAACCCAGGCCTGCCCCTAAGGAAGGGACCAGATACTCAGGGGTCACTGAAGTTAACCTGAGATAGTGGCTCTGAGTTTCTTGTCTCATGCCAATGAAAATTAAGCTGAAGACTCTTGTATGAGTATGCAGAGTGGAAGCAGGCTTTAGTAAGAAGAAAAGGATGGGGAGAAGTTAGGTAAACTTCTGAAGAGCAGGATGGAAGGGTTTCCAAGAGAGGACAAAGTTCCTTTGTCGGGGATTTTTTATAGGACCGGACAATAGTTGAGGTAATCTCTGATGAGATTGGTTACTTCTCTGGGCTATCATAGATCAGGCTAATGGAGGAGAACCCATATGCTTTCTATATATTTTCATGGCCTACCTTCCGGTCAGGTACGCCCACCTGGTTAGGGGTGGTTGAAGCCTCTCTCTGTCCCTCACGGACTCTAGCTGTGTTAATTATTCGCTTTGACTGTCGGTGTTGCTACTCTCTGAACATGGAGGTGTCTTGTCTTATAGTACGCTCACTTTGTTCCCACATTTACATAACCACCACTAGCTTTACCACAGAAGAGAGGTAGCTCTATCCCAGCCACCAGGCCACAGCTGTGGTCTTTCTTGGTTACATCATGTTTGGCTCCTTGACTATGGGAGCATGAGCTGTCCTCTTAGGCAGAAGCTTCTTAGAAGCAGTCCTGGTACCATCTGGAGCCCTGTAGTTGCTTTGTTTTCACTTCCGGTTAAAGAATTATAAGGCAATTTCAAGAAATCTCAAGTACAACAGGTAGCAGGGGGGAAATCTCAGTCAGACACATCAGGCAGAGCAAGCAGATGAAAATCAAAATCACTTATTAAAGGTGAAGAAGCACATGCGTGTGTGCGCACACACAACACAACACACACACACACACACACACACGCAGAGATAGAGAGAGAGGCAAATACCTCCTCTGAACAGCAGAAGAGGGACAGAAGTGGCTAAAGTCAGGCCTTCCTGGAGGCTTGGGGGTTGTGAGGGTCTTTAGTAGGCTTCAATGTGAGATGCCTTTCCCCTGCAATTTAGAGCTGGTCAGTTTAAACAAAGAAAGGGGTACGGATAGCCCCACAGCTCTGGGTACATGTGTCCTGGTCCAGCTTGAGAGGGTCTGCTGGCAGAGTCCCCTTGGACAGAAGAGGATGCTTCCCAGGCATTTGTTTTAAGCTGCCAAGCCTCTGTCTCAGTCAGAAGGGTGAGGAAGAAGCCAGAAGTTTGAAGACTCTCTTATGGCTCCCTTCCCTATTTGTCTGTCAGTCAGAGCTATGTCTAAATTCTAGTTCTACAATCCTTACTTCCAGTTTAGTCTGTTATAATTAACTGCATTAGAAGCAAGAATAAAAAGCTGGATGGTGGTGAAACACATGTCGAATCCCAGCTCCTGGAAGGCAGAGATTGGTGACCAGCCTCATCTTCAGAGAGTTCCCGGAGCAGAGTTCCGGGCTCCATAGTGAAACCCCGACTTGGGAGTAGCAGGGTGGAGAAGAAGCAAGGATATAAGAGACGACAGTAAGGCAATGGTCCCTTATATTCCTCAAGGATTTTTGGCTTGAGGGAGTAAACTGGCCCTCTGTCCCTGGCCCAAAACCCTGTCTTGTCCTTCCTCTTATCTATTTAGCTTGCTTACCATGTACCCAACTATTAGCCTTCTTATTAATTGTGGTGATTTGAATGGCAATGATCCCCATGGGTTCATATATTTGAGCGTTTGCTTCCCAGCTGGTAGACTGTGTAGTAAGCATTGAGTGCTGTGGCCTTGTTAGAAGAGGTGAGTCACCAGGGGGTGGGGTTTCAAAAGCCCACAGGGGATTCTCTCTCTCTCTCTCTCTCTCTCTCTCTCTCTCTCTCTCTCTCTCTCTCCTCTGCCTGCCCTCCCTCTCCCCACCATGATGATCATGAACTAACTCTGAAACTGTAAGCAAGCCCCCCCCCTCCATTAAGTGTTTTCTTCCATAAGTTGCCTTGGTAATTGGTGTCTCCTCATGGCAATGGAACAGTAACTAAGACATTCATTTTCCGCAGCGTTCCAGGCCTTGCTGTGTTACCCCAGAATCCTCATTTTAACTGCAGCCTTTGTCAACATAGATGAGCAACTTGAACTTTTTACCCGGAGCCCCCTTTCCCCATCTAGTGAGAGCTATGTCCTCTGTCACAAGATATGCTCCAGCACACAGCTCCTGTTGAATTTCTAAGCATCCCAAAGACAAGGTGGGGTTAACTACACCTTTGAGAGGGTACCTCTGGCATGAATTATGCTTAGCAGCACACAGGTTATCAGAGACTGGCATTGGGTCTGGAAGAAGACATTTGGTGGGAATGTCTTTTCACTCTAGTGTATTTTTTTCTGAATTGCTGTTAAAGGATCTCATGGAAGGGATCAAGGGAACACTGAGGTTAACTTTTGGGGGGCAAGAAGTTTATTCAAAGAGGCATTACTTAGGCATGGAGTCACATGCATTTAATCCTAGGACTTGAGAGACAGAGACATGTGGATTTCTGTAAGATCAAGGCAACCTGGCCTACATACTGAGTCCAATGCCAGCCAGTGCTACATTTTGAGGCCCTGCCTCAAAAATAAAAGTTGTTGGTGCCATGGCTAAACAGACAAAACACAGCATATCAGAGGCTTTCAGGGGAAGAACCAGAGCTCACATTGCAGTAGTGGGAGTGGTTTCCCAGCTTGAGCCTACATCCAGACTCTCTGCTTCTCAGGCAGGAGCCAGAGAAGGTTGTGGGGAGCAGGATGAGTAACTGCCAATCCTCTCTTTCATGTAAATTCACTTCCTCAGATAAGAAATCCAGTCACCTAGAAGTCTGTTAGGAAGAGGTCCACAGACCATGCCCTCTGTGGGGTGCCTATTCTTATCTGTGGCAGGAGGAGGGGCCATGCAGTAGTAGTCTGGCCTGGGTTCTAACAGTAACTGCATGGTGCCAGTCTAAGTCCACTAATGCACCAAGTGCATCCATTTTCCTCCCCCTCATTTGCGACAGACCTTTTTATGCAGAGTATAAAGTATACAAAAATGTAGTTGGAAGACCCGTGTGAGGCATAGTTGGGATGCGACGTGGGTCACAATTCCACAAGAGGTCAAGATGGACCCGGCACAGCCTCTCCTGAGATGTGAGGGAGAAGACAGGTGCTCAGGGATTCCACAGCCTGGCCACCCCATCATGTGCATTCCTCTCCTCCTCTCAGCCCTGTCCACTCACACAGGCTTCTCCAAAAACAGTTATGGGGAGAGTTAACGGTCCAGACATTGGAAGATGGTTCTAGGCCACAGGAAGCTGCCTGTTAGCAGAGCTCGGATTCACCTGTAATACCTTACTGCCAGTGTCACAGGTGTCTTAGCCGAGGGTCTAGGGGTTCCAACAAGCTTGTTCCCTGGGACGGATAAAGAATTGTACATCCTGAAACTAAGACCCATACAGAGAAAGCGGAATCGCCAGACTGGAGGGAGGTTCTGGCCACTATCACCAGCAGAGTGAAAAGCCAGATGGAGCTCTCAAGGACTGCAGGTGCAGGGACCATGAAAGCAGCTGTTGCCAGAAAGAAAATGTGACCATTGGAGATTTGGGGGGCCACAGACACAGAGAACAAGTGGCTACTCTCCTAAAGTGAACACTGCATTTGGAGCTCATGGGGCCCCAGACACAGAAGGTGGAGAAGCACCAACCAGAGAACCAATAAGAAGAGAATCAGCAAATTTTATTAGGAGAAACAAAACAGCTCCCATCAGTGGTTTAGGGAGAAACCCCAGAGATGTGCGTCTTCCTGGAGGCTCTGTGTCAGACTTCCTATAGGCTCCCTAGGGCTCTTCCCCTTCCAGTCTTCCCCTTCTCCCTCACTATTGCCCTTCAGCCCTCAGCAGTTAGTAATAGTGGCAACAGTTCATGCTTGCAAGGAGCAACCTCTCTTAAAGGGGCTAGTCCCTGTTTTCTCAATGGGTACCAGTTCCCCCATCCTCCTCTAATCCCCTCTTTCAGAGAACAGAGATTCACACCTACTGCCATTGGAGATGGGGGCAATGACTACTCTGGCTACTTCCTCATGAGAGGGCAAAGTGTTTTAGGGTTTCAACCAGAAAGGAATACTCTTAGGTCTTTAGGTCCAATATTGAGGACTGTGATAGAACTGAGCTTCATAGACCCAGGGTGCAGGACAGCCATGTTGACTTTGGAGCAGTGCCCAGGGATATCCTGTGGACACAAGATGGATATTCCTGGTAACTGTACCTAATCCTGGGACTTTGAGGGCTAGAAACTCAGTTGGGGACATGGGCAGTCAGAATACAGGATTTTATATTATAGTCCCGAGAAGCTTTTTCCCATAGAGGAGACATTCTATGAGTGTTGAAGATGTGCTTAGATTTTTCTCTCCATCTTCAGGAAGTTGGGCCATTAGCCCATGAACAAACAGGCCAGATCTTGTTTGAACTAAGATATCTAGCAGAAACTTGTTGGGCCAGGGTGGACACCCTCTACCAAGTTAGAGGTGAAAACATATTCTTGGGAAATCCATTTTGTTTTCCTTATATGTTCCTCTAAGTCTGATTGTTTTCTTCCTTAAAACAGTCCACCTTTCACCACCAGTTTAAATAGTAAACTGATTTTATGTCTTATCCCTTTCTAGCTGAAGTGGCCTAGCCTAGTTGCTCTGCAGTTTCTAGGCCTGTATTGATTCCCCATAGCAAGACTTTCTATTATGAGGTGAGGGTACAATTGGGGTGCACACTTCATCTTTGTCTATCTGGGCCAAGTCTAGGATAGCTACCAGAGATACTAGGTATGTTGGAAGACTATGGTCAGAGTATTTAGAGTAAAGGCGATGGGCCCAGAACCTGGAAACACCCCCATTGAAAGGTAAGTATAGGTAATTTCTGCATGGTAAGTAAAAATCTGGGTGTGCCATAAAGGCTCCCAGAGTCATCTTCCCCATAAAGCAAGACTTGTTTCAGAATTTTTCTGGGTCCACTATATTTTGCTCAATCCAGCCTGCAAGGTGAGATGGGTTTGGGGAATTGGATGGGCCCATCATGTTACTCTTAGAAGTTGGGTTTGTCTACTAGGGAATCCTGTAAGTATCCCATGGGTACATGGCAGGCAGTTTTAGGGACAGTGTTATTTACTACAAGGAACTTCACATCACTGATCAGGTTCATGAACTCTGCACTTGGATATCCCTGACTGAGAGTGGACCACACAATCTGTCAGCCATTCCTGGCCAGGAGCCCTTATCATATATGGTGATGACACAGGCAGAAATACGACAATTTTGATTTCTAATGCAAGTTATCTGTCAGAGAAGGATTCATAGGAATGTTCTTTTGGTAGCTCGAGCCAAGATAAGAAAAGATTCCTCTTTGTACAGGTCCAAGGTGACCCTTTCTGTTTCACATCAAGAGGTACTCCCAAAGAATGAGAGGTAGAGTGCTGTGTCCTTCAATGCTCATCACGAGGGACTGGGAGTACATATTCCATCAGCACCTAACCCAGTGAAGCACTGTGGATAGCACTCTTCTCCACCCATTTCTGGGAGCTTGGCTTTAGCGATCAGGATGTACACTGGGTTCTATAGCACCGTTTCCAGAAGAAATATCTTTACTAAGAAGTGTCTGTGTATCAGGGGATGGGGTAGGGGGTGAGGTGTTTCTCCCTGGAAGTTGGTAGAAGGGAATCCAGATCCTGTAGAAGTTCATCACTTCAAGGAAAGCCCTCAGTTGCTTCATAGTCTAAGGAAGAAGATACATTAGAATGGGCTGGACTTTTTCCCCTCATACTCAAACTTCATTTTTCTCTCTGATATTTCCAAGTATGTAACTCAAGACTGGCATAGTTGGGCCTCTTCCTGAGAGGCCTTCTAGCCTTCTTTTGGATCTCTTATCTTTATGTTCTTTTTATATTGTTTTGTTTTCTCCCCAAAACATGAGTAGGGACTGAGAGGCACTTTCGGGGTTTGTTTCCTTTATATCCTGGAGCTTTTCATGATTTTATTCCCCCTTGGTCTATTTTCTAAATGTTTATAGATTTATTTATTTCATTTTAATGAGTTTCAATGTATATCTGTGCACCAGGTGCATGCCTGGTGTCTGCTGAGGTCAAAGGAGGGCATTGAATCCCCTGGAACTGGAGTTATGGGTGGTTGTGAGCCACCATGAGCCACTGGGTCCTCTGCGAGAACAAGTACTCTTAACCACTGAGTTATCTTTCCAGCCCTGTCTCTGCCATTTGTTTGAAAGTTTGTACAGTCCCGAGAATGATCTACCCTAGCTATATTCTTGGCTGTGAATAAATGAGAGTAGTAAATAGAAAAAAATTGGCAGGCTCGTCCTTAAACCTATGTTTACAACCTTCCCCAGAAACCAAGAAAATTTCTGTTAAAAATCCTATCATTGAGTTACTAGTTGAAAGACTTCTAAGGAGAAAGTTCTGTTTCTTTTTTCTAAGGGAGAGCACTCCATCATCTGTTTTACTGAAAGTGTCTATATACGAGATAATAACAGCTTCAATTGTAAATAATTTACCCCTTAGCTGTCATCACGGGTACCAGACATTTATTATTGAGCTGTTCTGTTCTCCTCTTTTCTTGTCACAGAGTCAGAGGGCCAGACTAACCTCGGACAGGGGATTTGGAGAACATTTTAACACAAACATGCTTGCATTTGTAGTGCAAGGATTAAATCTCATCCCCAGAGCCAGCTTCCTGGTGAGCTGAAACAGTGCATGATAATCCACTAACATCTGTATGCCAAAGACATTTGCTTCTCTATGAAATTGAACTCAGCTGTCCAGAGGTGGTGGCACACACCTTTAATTCCAGCACTCAGGAGGCAGACACAGTCCAGCCCGATCTACTGTTCTACTCTGGACAGGGAACTTGCTGTCAGATCAATGGCAACTGGCTGGATCCAAAGCATTTGTCTTCCTTATGATCAGCCTAGAATTGTTCCATCATACATCAGAAGAGGGAATGACAAGAGGCAGAAGGCATCTTCTTCCTTTTACAGGACGATGAAAGCAGAGCATTTGATCATAAAGTGTCATCCTTTGATTTCCTTCAACTTCATAAAGCTGTGTGTGTGGTAGTGATCACATAAGATCGGGTGACAGAGGTGTCTGTCTCTACCAGTGTCTAACTCGAGATCCTACCTGCCTAGTTTTGTTCTGACCAGATACTCAAAACCCCATATCTACTCTCTCTCTCTCTCTCTCTCTCTCTCTCTCTCTCTCTCTCTCTCTCTCTCTGTGCAAAAGAAGGCAGATAGCTGGAAATATTAATAAGTATCTTCCCTCTTATAGAGAGTCATATAGGATGTTTCTTCTTCTCCACCCCCACAAAAAGACAGTATCCTTAGTACGTTAGGAGGGGATCTTGGAGGCTCTGGTTGAGTAGCTTGGGGATCTCAGGATATGGCCACAGGAGAGGGACTACCATGTTCCCACACTTATGAGTGGATACAGGAACAGTCCACAGCAAACAAATTCAAGAGTACAGCCTTCTCTTGTGTTACCATGTTTAATGCATTGCAGAGGGCCCTGCTTTTTCATGTTGAAAAGAATGTGAATAGCAATGAAAAGATAGTGCACCGAGGGTCTGGGGATTTAGTTCAGTGGTAGAGCTCTCCATTCAGCTTGCCAGGCCCGTGTGGCCAGGGACCTGCCTGTTTCTCTAATGCATCACCCAGTCATGCCCCAACTTTACAATCATCACTGTAACTATGCTGATCCTTCTGTTTCTGGAACCTGTTCCTAGAAGACCAAGGGACTGCATGTGCAGCTTCCTACAAGATGCCTTCTCCTCCCAGTCCTTTGCCCACCTCTGTGGCTTCTAAGGTGAGGACTCTGGAACTGCAGTATTAGCACCACGGAACTTCTCACACCCAGTGGATCACAGCCTTCCAGGTATGATGTGGCCATCAGTTAGAGGGAATGTCCAGGCTATATTCCTTTTTCACCCTACAGGCATGCTGGGCACAATCCAAGGTTACCTGAAAGTGACCCAGATTTATGTTGCTCCAACAAGATATCCTTTAGCAATGGCAGTGGGGTGTTTGATGGCTGCATCCCAAACCTTTTTTATGAGGTGCCTAGGACCACTCGAGTGGTGGGGTTGTTTGTACAGTCTCCCAAAGGGTTCTCCAGGGAATATACCCCTACTGCACATAAGATAACTAGATGGATTTTACTTGATATGTTTCTAGCTCTTCAATAATTCTCTGCATTTCTTGCAAGCCCTCAGCTCTGATTTAACAGTGCCTCTAACTCCAACCTCCTCCCCCCATTCTGCAATGTTACTAAATACCTTTGCAAGAATGAGTGGCTAGACATCACATGTCTATAGCCTCTGGGAGGTATCTAGTTGGGACAGGAACATATAGTCCATGTGAATAAACAAAAAAGGATAGAAGGTGAAATGGAACAAAACCATATCAAACTCAAGGAGAGAAAACACAGGTTCTGATTTAATGGCTCTGTTAGGGGAATGATTTGTTGATCCATATCGTCTTAGACGTTTTCTCACCCTCTCCAGGAAACATAGCTGGGTAGATCATGTGGTATTTTGGCAAAGGCCAAATCCAGTTTGTGTCAGTGACCACAGCCATTCTGTGAGTTGTATATCTCTCCTGTGTCTCCCAAGTTGTCTGCCAAGGAAAACACTAAGCATGATCTGGGAGGTCAGATTGACTTTCAGGTATTGATCTACCTTCTGCTTTGGCCTTGGCATGCCTGTTTTGGGGCTGATGGCAGAGTGTCTTTTATTCCATGGTGACTCAGCTCCACTGATGGGTGTGAAAAGGATAAAACAATAGAGAATGCCTGTCAGTGGCACTGGAATCCAGTTATCTGGAGAAGAAACTCCATATGGCCCCTTGAACATGCCTTTCCTGAGTAATTGTGAACACACAGTCTTAGGACACACAGTTCTAGGAGCATAATTTGATGCCACAAATGAATCAAAATGTCAACTGTTTGAGCCAACAAATATAGCAGTCAAGTTCTGAAATATCTAATTTGAGGACTAATTTGAGAGATGGCTGAGTAGTTAGCCTGTTTACTACTCTTGTAGAAGACCCCAGCTTGTTTCCCAGCACCTGCGTCAGGTAGCCCACAGCTGCCTGTAATTCCAGTTCCAGGGTATCCGTTGCTCTCTGTTCTCCCTGGGCACCTGCATGCATGTGGTGCACATAAACACACACAAGCACATACTCATGAATAACAATGAATCTTTAAAAGTACCTGTATGCAAGAACATTTATCAATTGCTGATCCTAAACAGTGACTATTGATAGCCAGTAAGAAAAGCTCTCCTCTGAGGAAATCCTTTGCCTGTACTTTTCAAAATAATTTTAGGATATTGCCCTCCAAAGCCACACACATTCAAAGTCCCATTCTGGTTTGCAACTGGAAATGCACTGAATTTAGATCAACTTAGGGAATAATAGAATTTTGAAGTTAGTCCTCCTTTTCAAAAAATTGTTTTTAAGATATTACTTGAGGACACAAACAGAAAGTCCATAAAAATCTCACAGGTATTTTCCTCTTATTTGGTCAACCATTTTTACATGTGATTTATGATTGTGATTGATACAAGAAGGTCTTGTATTTTCATATTCCAATTGGTCATGTGGCTTTTCAATTCATTTATATGATAACAAACAAGCTCCCTTGGTCAACATTTCAGATGATTGCTTTGGTTTTACATGAAGTCAATCAGAAAATCTAAGCATTTTACCAGCCCTTTTGTTAACAAAAGTCCTTATACTACATCATTATTCCTTTCCATTATGTTTCAGAACCCGAACAAAGCTGTGTGAGGGTTTTTTAAAAAAAGATTTATGTGTATGTATTCCTGTGTGAAAGTATTGTATACACAAGCATGCAGGTGCCTGTGGAGACTTTTTTTTTCGTGATCTAACGAAGCTTGCCTGAAGATCAGAGGGCAGAACTAAGATACTAGAGGCCAGGCAGTGGTGGCGCACACCTTTAATCCAAGCACTCAAGAAACAGAGGCAGATGGATCTCTGTGAGTTCAAGGCTACCTTGGGCTACACGAGATTGAATCTGTCTAACAGAGAAGCAGAGCTCTTTGATCCCATCACCTGGAATCACAGGCCTTTAATCCCAGCACTAGGGAGGTAGCAACAAGAGTGATTCGACCAGGTGGAGAGAGGAATATAAGGTGGAAGGGACAGGAAGGAGCTCAGGGTTCATTCAGTCTGAGGACTTGTAAAGACGGGACACCCCATTTGGTCAGAGGATTTCATAGAGCTAAGAACTAGCATTGGGCTGCTCTGCTTCTCTGAATTTCACGCAAGCTTTAGTTGTTAGATCACAAACAAAATACCATTGCAGGCACCCATAAAGGTGTGGGTGTCAGAACCTCTGGTGCTAGAGTTGTAGACAGTGGTAAGCCACCCAGCATGGTACTGGGAACCAAACCTGAGTCTGCCAGAAGAATGGTGAATGTTCTTAATCACTGAAACATCTCTCTGGTCCCTGTCTGAGGGTCTTTATATATGGTCCTATGTGTGGTAGGGTGAACACCAATGACTGGGATGTCCCTGCCTTTGGTGAAAGGGATTATGTGATGGTTTAAATAAGAATAGTCCCCCTAGGCTCTTATATTTGAATGCTTAGTCACCAGGAAGTGGAACTGTTAGAAAAGGATTGGAAGTTGTGACCTTGTTGGAGGAAGTGTGTCACTGGAATTAGATTTTGAGCTTTCAAAAGTCCATACCAGGTCCATTCTCTCTCTGTCTCTCTCTACCCGTGGATCAGAATGTAGCTCTCAGCTATGTCTCTAGCACCACAAGTCCCCACCATGCTCCCTTTGCCATTATGATACTCTGAACGTGTAAACAAGCTCCCAATTAAATGCTTTCTTTTGTAAGAGTTGCCTTTGGTCATCGTGTCTTTTCACAGTAACAGAACAGAACAGCAGAGTTTTGGCTGAGGTTCAACTCATAGTAGGTCCAGTGGGCTCATGAACCCATTCTGGAGTAACCACCTATGTCTTATCGGATCACCATGGAGTAAAGTGAGAATTTAGCAACAATACCACCCCCAGAAAGCCTACAAACTCATGGAACTGAACAGTCAACTACTAAACCACCCCTAGGTCAAGGAAGAAATAAGGAAAGAAATTGAAGCCTTCATTGAATTCAACGAAAATGAAGATACAACATACCCAAACCTATGGGACACTATGAAAGCAGAGTTGCTAGCATTTTCATTCCTTCACTGGCGTTAGAGCCTACTTCTTCAGGTTTCCAGCCTTTTCTTGAGTTCTATTGGGCAGGATATTGTATCCATCTTGATATTCCTCTTGTGCGATGTCAGATATAATGAGGATGGGAGCATTGCATTGCACATCATGTCTCTTCCACCACTAGTCTAAAAAGTAATTATGTATGTAGAACTCTGCAGCACACAGCTATTCAATACCAAAGACTCTCCTCAATAGCCATTTTAGAGGGATATCCATTGTTTCCCACTGTAAAACCCAACTGACTGTCCTGGTGACAGCAAAGCAGAGCTGGATTGGGATTTCAGAATACATGCCATCTAGAGTTGATCATTATTCCCAGAGAATTGTCATGACATTAGCTGTGTCATGTTAATCAAACCTATTCCGATTACAATGCATGGGAAAGAATAAGAACACAAAACCCATAATCATGAGCATTGTTGCAATGACTCCCATTCAAAAAGTTCTATCTCTTAAACAAATCTTACCCACTCTGAGAAATTCAGAATGATAATTGAGTAAGAAATTGAGAATCAAGAAAGGACAAATTCTCTGACCCTCAATGGCTCTGGGAGATCTGGCTCCAACTCTTGCTGGCCACTATATGCAGCATAGATTGGTGACTAGCCCAACTGTCATCAGAGAGGCTTCATCCAGCAACTGATGGAAACAGAGGCAGAAACCCATAGCCAAGTATCAGGCAGAATTTGGAGAATTCTGTGAAAGAGGGGAAGGAAAGATTGTAGGAGCCAGAGAGTTCAAGGATGCTACAAGAAAACCCACAGACTCAACTAACCTGGGCTCATAGATGCTCACAGAGACTAAACCAACAACCAGGGAGCCTGCATGTACTTGACAGTTGTAAGCTTGGTGTTATTGTGGGACTCCTAACAGGGAGAGCAGGGGCTATCTCTGATGCTTACTGGCTTTGGGGATCTTACTCCTCATACAGGGCTGCCTTGTTCAGACTTAATACAAGGGGGGATGCTTAGTCTTATTTCGCTATATCAAACAAATGTGTGACAGAGAGGCAGATGTGGGCAGGATGACGGAGCAAAGTGGGGGTTTTCTTTTCTTTGGGGTGGGGAGGCTACAAGGGTGGTGGCTGAACATGGGAGAGTGGGAAATGAGTGGTACTGGGGTGCATGATGAGAAATTGCCAAAGAATCAATTTTTAAATTTATGTTAAAAGAGAAAAATGAACAAAGAATAAGTCACAAATGATGTTTATTCATTCATATCTTTATATAACAATGGTTAAAGAGATGTGGGAGTGAATTTGGGAGGATATAGGGGCAGAGAACAGATGTGGGAAGGGGAGGAGGAGGCAGGGAAGTTAGTAGAAACAATGTAATTATTTTTTAATTAAAATAAAAAATGACAGATGGGAGGAGTCAGAAAAATGGATCAATGGTTAAGAGCACTTACTTTTCCAGAGGGCCAGTGTTTGGTTCTCCCACCCCTATGTGCGATGGCTTATAACTGCCTGTAACCCCAGATAGAGGAGATCTGAGATCTGAAACTCTTTTCTGGCCTCTGCAGGTGCGCGCGCGCACACACACACACACGCACACACCAAGAAGTAGATCAAGTGAAGATATAGGCAAGCCTGAGTGATGAGGAAGGTGGGTAAGATAGAAGGTTCCATCATTAA